ATATATATATATATATATGTATATATTCTTCAAATATTATTCTTAAAATAAACAAAGTAGATTTAATACGATGTAACAGCCCAGAAATTGACTTGAAAAACAGAATATTTGCTCAAATTTATTTTGTAATAAAGTATACATTTTTCGAGATGACTCTTGATGTTTGTTTTTACAAACATATAGAATGAATATAGTTGGTCGTCAACACGCGTAATCATATATACATGTTGCCATTGAACCAACATGATTTTTTTTCATCGTTTATAAGATTATTTTTTACGACTATATTCAATTATATATTTAATTCTTACTATTAATTTATTATTAATAAGTAATTCTGATATATCAAAGCAGGAATTATTTTGCAATATTTATTCTTTTAAAACAAAAATCGGAGTTATTGGAAATAGAAATTTTTTAATTATTTTAACAAAGCAACATTTACAAATAATTATTTCTTTAACGATGCTTAAATTCGAATATATTTCATAATGCAATTTAAACTTTTCGCTAATACACATGTAATTTGTAATTCCATTACTGTTTCTAGAAAGCGCAGAATAACAAAAGAATCATTGGATCCAATAATATCAATATCAAAAATATGTACGTAATTTATTTTTGTAAGTGTTTATTAATAATCTTTTATATACTTTGACGGAATTACGCATTGTGCACAAGTAACATTGGAAATACCGAACAAAATAAAAAATTATGTAAAGTTACGATCAATAAATGTAATATGTATGCGTTATATAATAGGTATGTATACAATTTAAATTTATTGTTTATGCATATCTTTTTTACGTAAATTTTAACATAATATTTATGCATATCTTTTTATAAAATTATATATATTTCTATTGGAAATCATATTGCTTTAATACTTGATTTAATCGTACATAAACTTTTTCACAGTGCGCAAAATCGTATTTAAAATGGCTATAATAAATAAAAAAAAGATATGCATAAACAATAAATTTTCATGATTCATTAAACTTATTATATATAAAAATATTTCTGGATTCCGCATACATAATTTTATTGCCTTGAAAATGCAAAATGTTTTGACACAAAATAACAATAATCTAATTTACGTATCTTTTCCAGTAACAAATAAAATAGATTTTACTCTTTAATTCAATTAGAATGTTTTGTATTAGATGTGCATTGTTGGAATATTTATTGAAATTCATTCAAAACTTCAGTAGGAATCTATTCTAAATATTTTATAAGGTATATTACACGTGCGTATCTCAATACAAGACGTGAATTACTTCGGAAATGTTAAATACTTCGGAACAACGAAAATTAGTTCAGTAGGTAAAAATTTAATTCTATAAAGTATTCTATAAAAGTATTAAATATTTCGAAGTGATAGCAATTTTGTCTTTGTTTTTTATGACGTGCACGGTTTGGATTTTTTGCTGATTTATACATAAAGTTGTCGCGTTACCATTTGCAAACTGAAATTCGAACATCTCGTACACCGCGGCTTGTTTACAAAGAGAACATTACGCTCTATCATTCCTATTCCGATATTCAAATCGACAGGTAGCTAGGCTGCTTTGTGTGTATTATTATTATTCCGAAACATAACATGATAAAAAAGCATAAAGAGAATATTATAGTAATTAGAAAGATACATCTTTCTCTATTAAATTATTCCTCTACGCAATCGATAAAATCTTTTGATTTAAAAGATTTTTATTAAGAATGTATCAGCAGTAAAGTTCCTGCAAAAATTTAAAATTGAAATTGTATTAATATATTTATATTATTCATATAAATGTAAATATTAAAACTATATACATATGCATATAAAACAGTTGTGTGAATAACCTCATATATATATTTATTTGACACAACACATTTTATAGTTTATTTATTGCATTTATTATTATATTTTTATTGTTATAATATTTTTGAAATGAAAAAAATTTAAGTAATAGAAAGAACAGTATTTTCAGTCAAAGCGGATCTTAATGTTTAATGATATTTACATACATATTTGCAAACACATTTTTTTAATTTTATATATTTATTGTGTACCTATTCGGTTTATCGGACTAAACGCAATTCTAAACTGAAGCTGGAAACATCACAGGTATATAGATCATTTAATAATGATGCTAATAAGCATCTTAAAATAAAAATTTACATAAAAATTTATTTTGTATAAATATTTTAAATAATCAAGGTTATTTATGAAGTTATTTATGAAGTATTTATCAAGATTATATATTTATAAAGTTTTATTGCGATTTACTAATTTGTTGCTCTGTAAATAAATAAAATTTAATACATAAAGTAAACCTGTTAATAAATGTAATAAACGTTCTGTTAGTAAACAAAATAAACTTTATTTATTTATAAAACAACTAATTAATGAATCGCGAAATTTTGTAAATACATAATCTTGATAAATATTTCATAAATAATTTCGTAAATAGTTTTGATTATTTAAAGTTTATACAAAAAATTGAAATTTTCGTAAGTTAATAAGTTAGTTTTTTTATTTTAAGATGCTTGTTTTAGCATCATTACTAAATGATCTAATTTGTGATGTTATTTCCAGCTTCAGTTTGATTATATTTCAAGTCCGACAAACCGAATCGATATGCAACAGATTTATACAATTAAAAAATATAAATTTGCAAATTTACATGTGAATATTATTAAGCACCAAGATTTGCTTCGACTGAAAATAGCGTTTTTTCTGTTATTTGAATTTTTATCATTTTTAAAGTTGAAATATTACACAATAAAAAACAATAATAAGTGAATAAGTAAATTATAAAAATATGTTGTTAAATAAATATATGTAAATAAAGTTATTCACACAAATTTTCATAGTTTTATTTATTTTTATTTGAAAAGTATAAATATTGATACACTTTTAGTTCCTTTTTGAAGAGATAAGGAATAATACATCTTAAGCGCACTGAGAGAAATGGGTTTGTTATTAGAACAAAAAATGATTTGTTATGATTTTTTAAATACTATAATAAAATTTTCTTTCATTAAGTACTTTTTAAGTTATTAGATTTGAAAGTTACAGTATCGACATTAACATTACTCAAGGTACTCACTTCAGACCGGTTGGAATTTCTTAAATGTTGTTCAGAATCATGATCTGAATAACATTTGTCAAGATCAACGTTATTAAAGATTGTTTCTCTTATTTTCACTTTTAATGAATTTTTGATAAAAATGAATTTTTAGTGCAAAAAATAAGAGGAACAATTTTCGATAGCCTTAATCTTGATAAATATCTAG